ATACGTGGAAAGGCTTGGCCGACATCCCAGCACACAGGTGCTCCACAAATGTTAGTTCTTTTCACTATTAGGGATGACAGATTGTGGCTTGGGGAATGGTTAGCTAAATATATCCAGTAATGGAAGGGCTACAGCTTGGTCCAGTGAGCCATTCATCAAGAGTGTTGATGTAGACTGTCACTAAAGAGAAATTTGGAAATACGAGGGTTTTTCCTCCCTGGCGGTGCTTCTGACGCAAGATGGGAAAGCTATTTCTCTTCTGACACCAACTAGTTCTGGCACTATTTGAGCTTCCTACATTGTAATGCAGTTTTGATGTTACCCAGAGTTAGCAAGGGACTCCACACGTCGCTGGCACACTCACAGATTGATCGCCCCCTCACTGTACATAGTAGTAGAAGACTTATTTTGATGACGCATATGCTTAGTGAGCCTCTGCTTTGCTTCCATGTGTACTGGGAGCAGGAGTTGTGTGGAACAATGGGGATTAGGGGGGATTAAAGTCCCTGTAATCCACCTTTGACTGCAGCTCCAGAGATAAAACAAACCTGGGGATACATCATACCCTTGATCCACATGCAGTCTGGAGCTCGCTGCTCTGACATAGCTCCCCTCCCCATTTCTCATCTACCCTTTAGGGGACCTGGCTAATGACAATGTACTTAATATCAGTAAGGAGGGAAAGAGAGTTGGGTACCCAAGAAGACCACTAGTTATGCATTTATCTGACATGAAAATGATTCAGGAAAGCGCTTGTAGGTAAGGGGATAATCTATCCATTGATCCTTCTGAAACACTGGGGTAATTCAGAGAAGTAAAACCTACCCTCCATGTCCCAGTGAGACTCTGAAGGACTCTATAGAGCAGTGGTTCTCAACCTTCCTAGTGCTGTGATCCTTTAATACAGTTCCTCGTGTAGTGGTGACCTCCAACCATAAAGCTGTTTGCATTGCCACTTCATAACTGTAATTTTGCTAGTGTTATGAATCATCAGGTAAATACCTGTGTTTCTGATGGTCTTAGGTAACCTCTGTGAAAGGGTCATTTGACCACTCCCCCAAACGGGTTTCAAACCTCAGGTTGAGAATCACTGCTATAGAGCAGATGACTTTAGATTTCTATGGGCATGACGGGGAGAGACATGAATCTTATCTCTAGATGCACTACCCCAATCTCCCAAAGCTAGCTAGGCTGATGACCCATTCCACTTTTTTAAAATATTGGGATCCAAGTATTGCCATTTTACAAATTAAAACTAGGAACTTGAAAACATTTCATTTCAATTGCTTTATTTCAAAGTAACAAATCTATTGCATGTTATAAAAACATTTTGTGAAAAATAATTTTATCTTCCAAAAATTAACCAAGAGGAAGCTCATTGTTTTACATTTTAAAATATTTATTTTTTAAGTGTGTGTATGTCTATGTGTGTATGTGTGTGTGTGTCTATGTGTGTCTGTGTGTATGTGTCTGTGTGTCTGTGTGTCTGTGTGTATGTGTGAGTGCATGTGTGAGCACATGAGTGCAGAGCCCATGGAACCCAGAGGGATCAGTCTTGCTTGGAGCTGAAGTTCCCGGCCGATGTGAGCTGCCGGATGTGAGTGTCAGGAATCAAACCCAGGTCATGTGCAAGAGCCTCACACATCCTTAGCCAACGAGGCATCTCTCATGATAAATAAATATATATGTATCATCTCGTATACATATCTCATGCTGCCTTGATCTGGAACTTCTGACAACATGTTTTTAGGAGGACAAATAAGAAAAGACATGATTTCCACCTCAGTATCCTCACCCAAGGGCTGTGGCCTCATAGATCTCCAGTTTAAAAACAGCTACCCTGAACTCTAGGGAAGATCTCTGTGCTTCTGATCTGCATTGGCTGCTTCTCTCTTTCATCTGCTTACGAAGGGACCTTGACTGGTGAGGAACAGGCAGTTTCTTCTGCTCAAGCGGCCCTTCCCCAGATATTTCATAGAATTCAAATTCCTCCAAATACAAGAGGAAATAAAGGGACGCTGTTCATTCTTACCAACCTCCTGTCACAGTCAGCAATGGCATCGATGCACTTTTGCAATGGACTGACCCAAAGTGGTTGACAGCAGGAGAAATGTGGGGTGAAATGTAGGTTAGGGAGTGGCTCTCAACCTTCCTGATGCTGTGACCACTTAGCACAGTTCCTCATGTTGTGGTGACCCCAACCATAAAATTACTCTGCTGCCACCTCATAACTGTAATTTTACTACTGTTATAAACTGTAATGTAAGTATCTGTGTTTTTCAATAGTCTTAGGTGACCCCTGTGAAAAGGGTTGTTCAGGGGGTCACAACCCACAGGTTGAGAACCACTGATTTAGCAAGGAACTTGGAGTCATTTCAGTGAATCACAAAAACTAAGATTTCTATATTACATGATTTCAAACGCAAACAGATAGGGTTCTTTGCCATAAAGAAGGGACCACAGTGATGGTGATAGGGTTGGGGGCAGAGCAAGAAGACAGACAGCTCCTTGAAGGCAACCATGTATCTGACTCATATCCTTGCCCCTTCCAGGCTTCACTCTGTAGAGAGAGCAGAACAGGCTTTTCCTTGTAACCTTCACACATGGAGGAGACTCACTTTCTCGGAGTCACACAGCCTCGGCTGAAGAGCTGAAGCTGTCTGAGGCCCGGCAGTATTAGAGTGCCTCACAAGGATCCTTCCTACTTCAGATCAGAAGCCTGGGGGTCCTATTGTCTCTGATCCTCATGTGGTGTCTGATTTAGGAGAAAGGACACCTCAGGAATGGATCAGGCACTCCTTTGCAGACATGAGTCCTGGCCTGTGAGAACCAATGCAAGAATACAGAAAGTACCCAGTGCTCATTAGCAACAACCTATTCAGGACAGGTGAGGCCTCTCTGTTCCTAGGCAGCCATTGTTGCCAAGATCGTCTTCCCCCCATCTAAGTCCATCTCACTCAGATGCCCACGGTTTCACACTTCCGCTGCCCACGCAGCTCTGTGAGCACAGATGGGTGTGACTTTTGATGGAAGTAGGCCAGTCCTTGTTGACAGGATGGCAACATTTTTCCCAAAGAAAATGAAGGTCATCATGACTAATGCATGGGGCAAGGGAGCTGGGCATCCCTGTACACTAATTCTTCTAGAAAATGTGTCATTCTCTCCTGCTGTTTGGATATTCTGTGTTTCTCTGTCTTTTAGTCCCAAAGGCAGGGACCTGGAAACCTGCCTAAACCCCTTAAAGTCAGACTCCTTTTTGGAACCTTTGGTTTCTCTTTTTAAATTGAATTTGAACTTGGGAGGTAATTATAGAGTCATATGTAGTTGTAGGAAATAATACAGAGAGAGCCCCGCTACCCATGTGTGAATCTCCCCAGTAGTAACATCTTGCAAACTCTACCACCGTATCAGACTGTGGCTTTCCTGACCTAGGAAGGAGATGCTGTGGGGAATGATGAATTACTTGTCCTTGAAAGGAGAGGCCACAGATAAGAAACTTTGTGAAGGGCCACAGACGATATCAGGACTCCCTAGGCAGAGTTGTCAAATCGGGTGCTGTTCATCTGCGTGTGGAGAGAGCACCGAAAGGCAAGGCAGCACAACGTCTTACCTCAGGTCTCTCTCCCTCTTCCTGTTCCTGCAAAGCCCATGGCGCCATCTTGGGAGCACCATTCTAACCCCAATTATATCTGAATGCTGAGAATATCAAATGTGTTAAATGCCTCACACCTGTGTTTACGGGGGGCGCGTTGAAAGCATCTGCAATAGGAAACTGCAAATATTCATCTTAAGTAAGCACCCTCCTTCCATCCAGGGAGCCTAACAATTGTGTCTTCCCAGCTTGTCTTGGACAGAAGGAACAGCCTCCCACAGCCCATCCTCATCTTCTTTTTTTTTTCATCCTCATCTTCTTGAGGGTGGCCTGTTTTCAATATTTTCCAAAATAACAGCTGTGTATTGCTTTTCTGATTAAAACCAAACAAAACATTGTATGATCTTCCTATTATTGAAGAATGAAAAGAACAACAACAAAAGGAGCGGAGTTAAGGAAGAAAATTAAAATTAACCACCATGCCATGGTTAATATTTCGAAGCATTTGTATTTATTTCCTCACAGACTTTTGTTACTGGGTGTATATGCTTGGATATGTATCGGCAGGTTCTGCCCCATTGGATTCAATCAAGTGCAGATGAAAGTAATTGGGTAATGACTGCATCTGCTGTGAGCAGGGACGGACCCTTCCTCATTATTACCCCCCGGAATGAAGTCATTTTCAGTGTTGACACTGTAGTGGGGTTTACTAGTTATCTGGAGACACTTCCTATGTTGACATAGGAAGGTGGGCGGAGCTTCCACACAGACTGCACCACTTTATAGAAGGGATTTTTGCATCTGAGCAAGTTGCATAACTGGTCCCTGTGGATACTGAAGGACAGTAGTGTTTTTAGAATAATATTTGTGTGTGTGTGTGTGTGTGTGTGTGTGTGTGTGTGTGTGTGTGTGTGACTTAATGTCCTTAACAAAAAGCAGCACATTCAGTTGGCCTGTAAACGAGAGCTATTTTTTTTTATGACAATTCAAAGCTAAATTTGGCCAAGGGCAACATCTTGGCTGCGATAGGTGGGTATCTGAAGAGTTAAGAGAGAGAACATAGGGACAGAGGTGACAATATGTGTCATCTTGGGAGTACACAGTGACATAACACGTAACAAATATGGATCAACTGAAGTCAGGGATCAGGAGGTGTGAGTGGCAGCTCCTGTGACCTCCAAAGTCACCCGGAAGCTGTTACACATTCTTGAATAAGAAATGACTTTCCAAAGATGTTGAACAAATGAAATAGGAGACAAGAGGAAGAAAGTGATGCGCAGCCTACCCAGGACTCTGCCGTTGCTGGTGACTCTATGCTGCGGTCAGAAGGGACTGGTCTATTATTTCTCTATGCTG